TGCTTCGGTGGTGGCATTTAGCAGATCCCGGCGTGACTGGGACCTCCGAGGATGGGACAGCGAGGACTTCCCGTGGCTTTGCCCAAGCTACACGCACAGGCCTGCGAAAATAGTGCTGTTTTTTGCCCTCCACCACCTCCTTACTTAATTACTTTCCTTCCTCTGACTCTATTCTTTGTTTATTTTTATTTTATTTTGAGAATATCGTCTCTCTTAACATTCCGAAGTAATGCATGGATTTCGTAGATGACAACTTTTTTTCCGAATTTTTAGCTTTTATGAAAACTGTTATTTACCAATAAATTGTCAAATCTGTAAGAGTTTAGGTTCTGGGAGTTCATCAGTGGCCAGTTTGTCTCCAGATGCTAGCAGAAGCTGCACACAAATCTTAGTAAGGCTTCTGCATGTTGTCCTGTAAAGAGGAAGATTCTCGTGACTGTCTTGAAGGGATTAGTGAGGTAACGGTTACAAAAGAGAAAGACAAAACCCCAGATGTTTGTGATGTTCTTACAAAAACAATTAAGAACGAGGTGCTGTTTCTGAAAAGTATCGTGTTTGTCTATACAATGAATATGCTAAAACAATTGTTGTGTTGCATAAGTTTTTTATGAGACGAATTTGAAGGCAGGAATAGATTTAACCATTTTTATTACATTGCTAGCAGAGAACAGGAAGAGTTGGGTACTGTGGAAACTGTAACAGTTTTTCTGAAAAAAAAAAAAAAAAGGCAAAAAAGTTTAAGTCCCAGGCTGTTAAAAGGCATGGGCTTTCATTTGAAAGTGTGCCTGCGTTTGCTGTGAGTGATGCTGTCTGTGGATGACTCATGCCTGTTTTGTCAATTGTGACAAAAATTTTCTTCTACGTGGTGCTGGACTGTGCTTGGCCTCCAGAGCTGTGACATCTTGCTTGAACAGCCAGCTTTATGCTGTGGTGTTGCATTAAGCGCTGTACTTCTCACAGGGCTTGCTGGAGGAACGTGCCAGCAGGCAATTCAGCTCCTAAATTGCTGCTTGAGGTTAACTGAGTGATGACAGGCTTTGCTTGCAATGCCGCTCAAATTTCTGGATGAAATGGGCTTGCTCGTGTTACTCGGAATAATTGTATTGCCTCAGGTCCTTAAAAACCCACAAGTCCTACACAGTCCTTGGAGGGCAGATTTCCAGAAATACCTGTAGAGCTTTCACTTCTCAGCCTATAAAAGAAGCTTCTTCACTGAATAGACGTCACCTGTCTGTCTGGTGTCAAAAGAAAGAACTTGTGTCTCCAGCTGTTCAAACAAACAATATCTTCATTGGAGAAACCTGTGAATATGTTATTGACAGGATGGCACATCAGTTGTGTACAGTCTAAAGAGCAGTTACAGCCTGAAGTTCCTTTCAAGTTCATATTGCAGATCACAGCTTTATTTCCAGTTTGTCTTGCTAAACGGCTGTTGTAGTTGCCATTTGTAGCATCATACAAAACTAGGTGGTCAGTCTTTTGTCGTATTCTGATCTCTAGTGGCCCAGTTTACTGGGTAGTCATCTGCTTCAGTGTGGTGCTAGGATGCCACAGTTAGCTCTCTGGTGCCAAATGAAGTGATTCTCTCTACAACGCTGTGCTATCCAATAGCATTTTCTGCCAGAAAACAAATGAAGAGGATTGTGTTCTTCCGCATGCAGTCCCTGGGTGGAACTCTACAAAGTGAAGAAAATGACGTAAGTCTCTGACTGTGGACTTAGTATATGAACGATGGCTAGGTGGCCAACGATGGTGAGGTGAGGAAGTGCTCATGCTGTAAGGTTAAAATATTTTAAACAATGACAGAATAATTGTAATCTTAAAATACTTCAGTTACTTATAATAATTATTTCCTACTGTGGAGCACAGTTATGCTGTGCTCTGTTTTCTGAGTTCCATCTGAAACTTTGCAAAATCTGATTATGTGCAGTATTCTTTCTAAATTCTCTCTTGGACAGTTAGTGCCTACCCCTGGGGAGTCATGTGTAATGGTAATAGAAGTAACATAGACTGTAAATTCTTCAGATTTGCTCTCACTTATTTTTTGGTGTTGGATTTTTTGGTCCTCTCACAAATTATTCCAGAAAATTCAGCTAGTAAAACTAAAGTGAAAAATTTGAAACATACCTGCCAAGGCCCAGAAACAGCATAGTGTGAAGTTGGTAGGAAGTCTTATGTTGTCTGATCTGTATTCTGGAAAAGCTGAAGAGAGAAAGAAACTGTTGTTCTTTGCATGTAAGCTTGTCTAAGATTTCATATAGGAGAATATTATGTTAAATACGATGTTTGTTTCAAACAGTTATTTTCAAAACAAATACAGTCTTTCCAAGAAAAAAATGCGTTTTCTTAATTAAAAACTTTAGAGGCTAGCAATTCTCAGAACGTATGCCTCCACCTGCCTATTTTGTTCTAAGCTAATAGCACTTTCTGTTATCCTTTGGAGTTTTCACTGTGAGTCAGATGCCTGAGAAGTGTTTGCACCTTCTTCAGGTGTACCATTATTTAAAGGTGAATTTCACAGAAGGTAAGGCCTTGGTCCTGCATCCCTTGAGACCGTACCTGTTCTTTACGTTTTGAAGTAGATGATCAAAGGTCTCAATCTGAAACAGTCATGGACTTTTTATTAGTTGAATAAAATTACCTATTCAGTATTAAGAGAAAGTAACTCCCATGATTCACTCTTGGTCATATCTGCTGATTTTTGGATATGATTCTTTTTTTTTTGAAGTGGTCGTTCAGTTGAATATTTTCTGTTGAAGGGGTATTGTCTCACTAAATAATTGTTTTCAAGATTTCTCACCTAACAAAAAAATTACAGTGAAAGTCACCGTGCCATTTTGTACTTTATGTCATGTAATGATGACAGTTTTTTCAGCAGACAGCAAGAACCCATTGTGCCAAATGAGGTTGCTCGGTGTATGGCATGGAAAGCATTTTTGTAGGGTGCTGGTAGGCTGCATGTGGGTACAAAGAAGTTACTGCAGGGTTACAAGCAATCACATACCAGCTGTTTTGCTGTGGTTTCTAGTATAGGAACTATTCTCACTTAACAAAAATAATTTAAAGTAACTTGGTAGGATGGTCCATTGCCCATGTATGGATTAGAGGTAAGAATTTGCGTGCTGGCATTTATTATGCAAAGGCTGATGTGGTAATTTGTCTTTGGAACAAGTGAGCCAGTAGCTGGTGAATTTGTAACTGGAGTGTGATGCACTCACCTGGCCTTGTCTGCCTGCTTACACACTCTTGCAAAATGCTGTGTGAAACACAACTTCTAAGGTACCCATGTGTTAAGAAGCACTTGTTTGTGCTTCTGTCACAAGTCTAGAGGAGGGCTACTCAGATGCCTACATCTGAGTAATGTCTCTGACTGGGAGAACTGTTAAAACTGTGCAGATTCGCTGTCACACTCTTCACCAAAGACCTGACCAGTAAGGCTGGGGCTGAGTAGAGACTTCTTGCTGAACCAAGGAAAGACAGGCAAGTGAAAGGAAAAGACAGGGCAGTCTACATGAAACCTGGTTTCGCATCATCATTTTGTATGGTAAAAGTACTGATTAAAAATTTTGGTCTTTTTAAAGTTACTGGTTAAAAACTCTAGCTAAAGAAATAGTTAAAATGAAGGATCAATAAAGTATTGCAAGGGAGCCACTGCAGACAGCATTTAGTGGGAGAATAGCCTTCCTTCAGCTTGCTGATCACTTTTCCAGTCCATAATTTAAAATAAGTTCAGAGATGTGGCGTGGATAAACCTTTAAAAAGAGGAAAAGGATGAGGGATCAGTTCTGATTTCACAGAAATATGTACCAGTGCACACATCTGCATTGGGATTCAGACTGACTGCTTTCCATCTTCCACCATATCTACCCCTGTTGAGTGTGTCATGGTAGGACCCTACTCCTGCAAGAACTGGAGCTTAGAAGATGTATAGTGATAGAAAAGAAGTAATTTTACTATGAAGAAGTCTGGTTATCTTTTACATTACACTTTTTCGTAAGTAATCCACATTATATTGATCTAATTAAAGCTTCTCAACACTTTGCTTTCCATACCTGAGTAGAATGGGCAACATTTGAGTAATACAAGTTCAAGATAACAAGTCTATGAATTAATGCAGGCAATAGTTTGGATTAATGCTGTTTATATACTGTTTTCCTCTGTTTGATTGCAGGATGGACGCTTGACATTTTATCCAGGAAATCAGACTGTGGATTTGCCTTTCATAAATTTTATGAAAAGATATGGCACTCTCTTTCTCAATGCCTATACCAATTCTCCAATCTGTTGTCCTTCCCGTGCAGGTAGAACCAAGCAAAACATCAGATAAATACTTGCAGATGTCAATTTAAATATATGGTAATAATGAGAAATTTAAAACGATTTAAGTTTGGAGGAGAGGATTGGTTTTGGTTTTCAACATGGCCAAATTTTTTTTTTAGTTTGTGTCTGAATTTGTATGGTATTCTCATGTTTGATCTGTTTCTCTTTTCTGTTTCTCTGCTTATTCCAAACACACCGTTAAATAAGTAGTGTGTCCTTCAGTTGCTTTAGTTGAACATTTCAGTATTTTTCTTGCTGCAGTGTTCTGTGTTCAATTTCACACTTGCAGAATTTGCTGGGAAGTTAGAAGGAAGCTATATTCTTGAATCAAAGGTTACATCTTAGAACATTTCTAGCTCTTTCAGTTGTTGCCAAGGCCCTCCAGAGGTGATATAAATGGAGTTTCATCTGTAGCTGAAAGGGAGATCTCCCTTTCTCTCAGGGATACATTGGAAGAAGCAACCTGTCCTGACTGCAGCAGGCACAGGCTGTCGAATTTAGTGTTAGTGTTTAGTATTCCATTTATTGATAACCTAGTTCCCTTTTCTGTTTCTCAAGGTCACATTTTAAGGGAGTGAGATTACATGAACATGCCATCGGTCTTGTTTTCTTTTTCTTGACTTTTGAGTCTTTCAGCCAGTCTTTGTTGCTGAGAACAATAACCTCGTGTTAGGTTATTTAATTTTAGGAAGTCTTGTGAAATTAGCAGCTAGTGCTCCCAGTGAGGAAGAGGCTGCATGATGAATTCAACAATTCATCGATTCTGTTTAGCATTTTAGGTGGTCGATCAACATCATTGTCATGACACATCAGTCATCACAAGCATAGCTCTGAACCAGCAGGACATCTTTTGTTCAGCCAGTAGCTTGGAGACCTGCACGGACCTGAGGGTACATGTGGTGCGGAGGTCTCGGGGATGATACTAGAAGGGATGGTGGGAAGGAGGACTTCGGGGTGGGGAAAATAGGAGTATTGCCATGGTATGGGGTTGGGGTTGACACGCTGTGCTGACAAGATATTCCCATTGCTTGTAGAACAGCTTAGTTTCATTTTACAACTCCCTTTGACTCTAAATTGGCATTGGGGAGAGTGAACAATTCTGAACAAGCTGCAAAGAAACACAGGAATTCGCTAATAAAAGCTTTCCTTATAGTTCCTTTGCAGCTCTTTCCTTGATTTCATTTCTTCTTGGCCTCTTCTTTAGTAATCTTGCTTTGTATCTGCAGCTGCTAGTGAGTAATTACCTGAAACGGATAAAACTGAGGGCATGTAGTATTTATAAAAATAATATACTCTAATTCCCTCCACAAAACGTAACTTTAAATTTACATTAAAATTGGACTGGAGTAAGGGGAGATAATACTCTGGAGCACATGTAAATGCATGACTTTCATCAGGATCTGTACTATGATGGCATTTTCTTTCTGCTATCAGTAAGAATGTTTCCTGATCTACAGAAAACCTTGGTTTAATGATTGTGTAGTGCTTGGAAAGATGGGACCTACTTCTGCAATTCTGGGGATTGTTTTAGTAAATGTTGCTATTTGTATTGATGATGAAAATAAGACTTGGAATAATAATACTTTGTACTCCCTGCTCTATTGGATCACAATGTGGACTTTTTATCTCTAAAATAATGAGAAGATTGATTCTTTCTCAAGTATATTCAACTTAACATTCACATAAGAAGTACTACTTATTCATCAAATTCATCTCTTTTTTTTTTTTTTTTTTTTTTTCCTCCCCAGCTATGTGGAGTGGTCTTTTCACTCATTTAACAGAATCTTGGAATAACTTCAAAGGTCTGGATCCAGGTTATGTAACGTGGATGGATCTCATGGAGAAGCATGGCTACCACACAAAGAAGTATGGGAAATTGGACTATACTTCTGGACATCATTCAGTAAGGTAATCAGGTAGGCTCTTCTGCTATGAAATGGACAGGAGTGAATAAATCATGTAGTGGTCTGACAAGTGGTTTCTGTCTCTGATTGAAATGGTAGTAGCTTTAAATTAAAAGAAATTTTGTGAGGAACCTAGCAAGGGTCTGTCCTGCAACTTTATGCAGAAGCAAGCATATCCTGTGCAGATGCACTTTGGCTTTTAACTGTAGCTGCAACATGAATATCAAGACTCTGGTTTTGCCCAGAATGAATGAAGAGCATTTTTGGTCATTGGTATTGCTCCCTAAGTGAAATTTATGAACTGGTTTTGCCATGTCTTGAGACTTCTTGGCTAGATTATACTAGCAGTGTA